TGATTCTGTGCGTGTGCATTCGATCGAGCAGGTGTGCTCTCAGTGCGGGGCGAATTACAACATAGCCGACATTCTCGAAGGCGAGTACGACATGCCCCCACTGCTCCCCAAACCGGACGACTGTGACAAAAGTCAGTCATTCGGTTGGGGGACAGCGGGAAGGGAATCTGACTGTGTATGTGAATGCATGTCTGTGTGTGTGTGTGTGTCACTCGCTCACTTCCTCATGAAACAGTGTCTGGGCAAGCCTGATTTGGTGCAGCGTGACGACGACAAAGAGGAAGTGGTCAAGGAGAGACTGGACGTCTACAAGAGGGAAACTGCGCCTCTCATCGACTTCTATGACAAACAAGTGGGCGACCCCCCATCCACGAATGGCTGTTCTGTTGCGCTCCCCGTCACTCTCTCTGGACGGGTGTCTGTTTGTCTCGTTCTCCTTCATTGCAGAGATTGCTGCTCAACTTTGACGTATACAAGGGCGTAAAGGACCTTCCCAAGCTGCAAGAGCTGATCGAGAAGGAACTCGGCAGATTGATGTGAATAGTGAGTGATACAGGTAGACGCGTCTGTGTTCGTGTGTACGTAGGAAGGCTTGGATTTGTCTGGTCGTTGTGTGTTCACTTGTATGGTGTGGCGGGACAGACGTACGAAGACTGTGTGCATCAAGTGTGTGTATGTGCACACACTTGTGGCCATCTATACGTATTTTTCGCCTCATCCATCTATGGACGGTGGAAGACGAACCGAGTCAGTGGCGGCACCAACCAGCCGGTGTGCCCTCTGTGAAGTGAACTGATTGATCAAGATTCTTCTTCGTACACAGATTGGGGTTTTGTTGTGTCGCCTCTTCGTCCAGATTCACCCTCAAAATGCGTTGATTGCCTGTTCGAATTCGTCTTCAACATAGCACCGGTCCACTCAAGCAGACAAATGCGCTTGCGTATCCATGGAAATGCTGGTGGTGGTGCGTCCCTTCGAGATCACTTGCCACCCAGTCGAAGAATACCCCACACTATCCACACTACGCTACACACGCAGTTATTCATTGAATGAATGCGACTCATCTGCATGGCGGTCCTATCTATCGACGAGAGCGAAACTCATGACGGCAGAGAGCCCTGGTCCAAAGAGCTGGCTACCAATGGGGGTTCCTTTTGGACACCCTCCCTCGAAGGGCGGTCGTGTCTCACACACCGACGAACAAACAAACGCCAAAAAACCGTGGACTGGCATCATGATGCAGGCAAACAAACAACCACGCACAGCGACTGGGTGAGTGAGTCGCCAGTGGTGTATTTCGCCTGTCTGGCACCTCGACCACTGGAGGAAGCAAGTGATATCCACGGGGAGCCTTGCAGTTGACGAACCCGAAGAGCAGCCGAGGAAGATGCCCCCTCGGAGACACTCGTGGACTTCGGCGTGCGACGACTCCCGTGCATATTGGTCGGCAGCCTGACGTGGGCAGGACAGACAGTGCCATGGTCACTAACCGACGCAAAGCAGAGACAGAGACACGCGCGACAAAGACGACATCGTAGCCTCGACAGGTGAGTAAGTGAGAAAACCAGGTGATCAGTCAACCAAGGGCCCAACAATTGCCCTGATGCTGGTCGCCAACTCTGAGTAGAGAGACGGAAGCTGCTATGATTGTCGGATGCCATTGGGATGGATGAAAGAAAGAAGACACATGCTCCCTTC